ACCCTCTCCCTACGGGATCTCTCCTCCTACAAAAACAAAAAAAAAACAAAAACCCCAACAAGATATGACATCATTTTTTTTAATATAAAAATCAAGAATAATTGCATACTAAAAAATGCATAGCTACACCTTACCCGAATAATATCCTCCTTCTCTGTCTCTTGCAGTTGGTAGAGAATCTTTGACAATTCCTGATCAGACTCCATTTTTCCTGTGATTCGTTCCTTTTCTGCCTCACTTTGAGCACTTGCCAGCATTGTACAATACTGAACTGTGTGTAGCAAAAAAACATGGAAACTAAATTTAGACTCACAAGACAGTGTACATATTTCACTGTCAATTATGCAAATATGCACCTAGTTCCATGCCAGAATAACGAAATAACTAAAGCAACAAGCACTTACTCATGCGACGATGTTGGCGAAGGATTTTGATGAAGTCAAAAGTGTTAAAGCCAAGAAGCAATACAAGCTGGTTTTCACACTCCCTGTCATCACTGGCAGTCTGAAGAAAAGAGACAAAAACGGAGTTTGTAAAAACAACAACACACTGAGACGTCAAAGCACAAGAGGGTTAACAAACCTTGAGGATTTCTAGAACCTCGTCAGCTTTCTTCTGAGAGACGATAGCATCATCATAAAAGCGACTCAACTGTCGTTGGAGCCAAAAGGCGTCAATGTCTCGAGGGTGGAGATCCTTTTTCTTTACAGTCATGACATCGCCTGTGACACCAAGCTAAATGGGACGAGGAGAGTCATCCGTACACAATCAGGCTGACTTCATCTCAACTACTTAAGCAGATTGTTAACTTACGTTGGCGGAAAGAGCGCAGCCAACATCAGCTTCCTCTCCTTCACTGTCTTCATCTGAGTGCTCATCACGCACTTCTCCATACTTGTCTTCATCACCCTCCTGAGGAGCAATACAGTAAAAAATAATCACCACTTGGGTGCAAAACTGGTTTCCCCGAAATTCTCTTACAAGATAAAACATACCTCCTCATCAGATCCAAATTGGACATTAACGCCATATGTTTCATCAATGTTGTCATCTACACAAAAAGTGAAGATTTTTTTAGAAAATGCTTATTTAACAGTTCTTTGGCAGCCAGACCTTACCACCCAGTTGCTTCTTTTGAACATACCCATATTCTGCAAATCTTTGTCACCCCCATAGTCAGTGATTTTCTTGCCCAGGTTGACCAGCACGTGGTAGCGTGTGTCATCGGCAGGTCCAAGAAGCTGCTCCACCTCACGCCGCCTCTCCTTATCCCTCATTTTATCATTCTTTAGCACTGCCAAGACTTCGTCTGCTGCTCCACACAGAATATCACGCGGCTGTAGGGAGACAACAGTCAAGTTAATTCAGTTATTGTTATTGGACATTCATTTGAAACAAAAGTTCAGATGTCAAAAGGTTGCATTTTCACACCTGATCTCCCAAAGCAGCATGGATGAAGCTGAGCAAAACTTCATAAGTCTCCCTGGTTTCTTTTGTTTTGGGTTTGTATACAATTCCGACCATTTCATCAATGCCCTCTGACAGAAGAGTAAAGCCCTTCATTTTGTTGATATCATGTCTGTCCTCATCCCTTTTCCGTCTCCTGCGTGAACAAAGAAATCAAAAGAATGACTTGACCAAACGAAAGATCTGAAGAAATATTTTAAATGTATAAAACACCTTATAGAACCCACAATACATGTGTCTTAAGGTTTCTAATAATTACAGAAAGTTTTAAGGATAGAAAAAAAAAATACTTTTGAGTCTTTGGTTACATTCTAGATCATTCAGTGAAATTTGTGATAACCTATTTTCATATCTCCATGTTCTTTGTGTTATAATGCATTGTATGAGAATGTGAAATAGCTGTCTGTCATGAAGGAACATGCTTAACCGATACACATTTAATAAATTTTAACAACCTCAGAACCAAGTATCTAAGTATCTATCACTGAACTAAAGCAAAAGTGTATATATATGAATGATATTAAATTACACATCAACTTAAACGGCAGACAATGCACGTGAGGAACTATGATGTGTATATTCGTAAGACCTTGTCTGATATACAGAAATGTAAGAAGAAATTTATCATAACAGTACTAACTTGTCGCGTCTCTCTTCCAGTTTTTGAGGTTTTGTCCTCTGAGCTTTGTCTCCCATCTTGGTTCCCTCCAGCTTCCCCACCAGGGACAGCACTTCTCCAGTAGGTTCATCTCTCCGTGTCCGGTCGATCAGAGAGCGATCAGCTTGCAAGACCAAGTTCGAATTCTGTGGTTCACAAAATACACAATGAATTGGGTCCAAGTGAGGCTAACCGCTAATGGACATGCTAACATAAACTGTGAAAGGTAAGAACCAATATACTCAGTCAGCGTATTTCATATCGTATTAAACCAATTTAAACAAATATGAAAACCCAGGTGAAGTTCAATAAGCTAGGGATGCTGCAAAATATACTCACCGCCTTGTATTCATACTGCAGGCTACGAGCGGTAACATCCGCCATGGTGCCACTTTGTTAGCTTTCAGCGTAGTTTTGAAAATAACGTGATACAGGCTCAAATTTACCACACCACTCGTTGCACACTCTTCTTGCAAGTGGATATGGGACTCATCAGCGTAAGACTTGAACGTGTATCATGAATTTTTTAAAGAAAAATGATCCCCCTTCAGTCAAATTCACGCTCGCGTTACGTTACAAGACGGCGCTAACACGAGCGTTCGACCATTTCCGGGCTCCAGTTTTTCTGTTTCCGGTGTCAGAAGTCACACAAGCTGCTGCGACGAACATGGAGACAAAATCCAGCGCCCTCTAACGGTTTTATTTGCAATGCAGGTGTGACGCGACGCAACGTTAACGCGCTTCGGTTGTCTGTAATAAGTTTTCATAAAACGATTTTTTAAAACTAATTTGTTTTTATTACAGCCCCAAGTCTTTCTAAACATGATGCCACCCCTGCAAAAAAAAGAAAAACCTAAACCAGCCTTATGCTGTTTTTGTTGGAAGATGGTGACACCAGCAAAACTCTAATGGTCTATTAAATTGTTGTTGTTGTTTTTAATAACAGGGAGCGGGTGGTGGTCTATCCTGGGAGTTGTTGGCATCAACAAGACCAAATGTGAGAGTTTATGCTGGTCCTCCTTGCAGCCCAGCTCTGAAGCTCCAAAAGGTTGGATGGGGAGTGTCCTGCACAGCCATTTTCAGATCTCTCCAGATGTGTTCGTATTGAAGTCTGGGCTCTGGCTGGGCCACTCAAGGACAACCACAGAGTTGTCCTGTGACTTGAATGCATGTGATTACTTTTTTTTTTTAATTTTCATAAATTTGCAAATATTTCACACACACAAAAAAATCACCTTGTCTTTACGGTGTTGTTAATTCTAATGTGTGCGTGTGTGTGCGTGTGTGTGTGTGTGTGTGTGTGCGTGTGTGTGTGTGTGTGTGTGTGTGTGTGTGCGTGTGTGTGT